CCCCCCCCCCCCGCCCAAAAGGGAAGAGGGAAAATCAGAGTGGAGATATACAGGAGGGAGAGCCTAGAAAAGTGACCAGAAACAAAAAATAGCCTGAAGGTCAAAGGGGTCACAGGGGTTCGTTCTCTGCCGGGTTTGTTATGAAGGATGTTCAGAGGATGAATGTCGCCGTCCTGGCCATTACCTTGTCAGAATCCACGAGCAAACCCCGGGAGAGATGCCCATACACACGGGACTCCCTGGTTCTGTCTGAAGAGAACAGCAGAAAGAAGCAAGAAGAACGCAGACACCGGGCTCCCTCAAGGCTGTTGGGAACCCAAAGATGCTGCACCCCAAGCAGTTGCTTCCCGAAAACTCTTACAGAGGGCTCAGCCTGTTCATATAAAACTCAACCCAACATCATCACATGAAAACACAGAGCAAAGGGTTACTTTTAAGCAGTCATTCTAAGGGCTCATCAAGGCCAGCTCACCCACTGCACAGATGGAGGAACTGAGGCCTAGACGAGTGCCATGACCTGCTCAGGTCCCTAGGAAAAAAAGAAACCTGAATTCGCCCAGCATTGCTTTGGAGCAATCACATCCTCACTCAAAGAGGACTGTTATTTTCCTAATCCGTTCCCCAGTGTGCACAGACTGTGTGTGTGTGTGTGTGTGTGTGTGTGTGTGCTCGTGCGCTCGCGTGCCTGCACACACCATGCTCCGTCCTGCAGTTACGCAGCCTGATAAAAGTTGCTTCTGGTTGGAAGCATGTCACCCACCTCCCCCTCTGAGAGCAGATGCCTTTGATGCTCCGTGAAAGTACAAGCCTCAAATTTCAGTTCTTTTCGAATGTCCCGATGCCCTTGACCCTCCCTCCCTCTCTTTCAAGTGCACAGACACCGGTGTTACTTGGCTGGCATTCAGGAATGGTGTCCACCAGGGTCTATGCACATGCCACTTGTCCCCGGGGAGCAGATCTAAATGGGCAGCACAGCCCCGTTGAAAGCAACAGGTTAATGCTGTCTCTGCAATTAGAACAGCCCCCGCTCTCTCAGGTGACTGCCCCTAGGGGAAGGCTCATGCTTCGCTGCCCTTGATTAAATTCTTGGGCGCTTGCTGGCTCTATCCAGCTTGGCTATTTGTCCTTGAAGAGTTCAACAGAACTGGGAACGTATGAGTAACTGTTGTTTAGCTCCTTGCGGGAAAAGACTCCCTGAAACTTCACCCCTTGGAGCCCAAGCCCAGTGAGGAGATGTTCGGAGAGATGTGTGGTCCCAGTCCCGGGCCGGAAGGCACACTGGACCA